GTTCAGTGCAAAAACGCATGATCGTACCGGCAAGCCTGGTGAGTTCCAGCCTAGGGTTGCGTTTGTATGCACGCAAAAACGCGTAAAAAATCCTGGCTGTATCTTCGTACCACCTAACTGAAAATTCATGTCTGTATACTTCGCTTTCAAGGTTGCCAAGGTCGGCCGAACTTTCCAATACAGTTTTATGAAAATTAAAGATTCCAGAAAATTCGATGTCGGTATTTACACGGTCATTACGTCCGTGTTGCCCCTTCGCGTGTATATCTACGAGGGTGATGTTCTTCTGCGCTTTTGTTCGAAAAATTACGAGCCATTTGATGCCGAAGATATTAGCAAATACGTTGTTGGCGATGACTATGTACCAGCTTGGGAAGTCAGTGGTTCATTGGCATTCGTTCAATGCTAGCAATTTTTTCAAAATTCTGTATGAAGCTCAAAAAGCAAGACGCTTTTGATGAAAAAAAAAGAGCACATTACAGATGCCATCTCTGAAAACATACTACGTGGAACAGCGTCTAACGTTTCTTCAGTCACTCAACGCACACATCACTGCACTGGGAAAAGAGCCGGCTCCAGTGTGGGAAAAAATCAAAGAAACAATCGCTGCTGTGAGAGTTTTACCTCATTTCTTTTTGCTACAAAAAATTTTGACTTATTTTCTGAAAGATAATATGCACTTTAGTAGGAGACAACGATCTTCGACCACTGTTTGACAGCTGAGAGGAGGAGTAGATTCCTCATTAAATGCAGTACTCCACCATTTAAATAGTCCAGTATATGCTTCCCGTGCTGGCCTATCACATCTTTTATTTGCTCTCACTTAGCGAATACGTCAGCAAATCAGACAAGAAAATGTTGGTGTAATGACTCAGAACCATCATGACATGAGCCTAGCAAAAAGAAAAAGTCCCCTTTCGTATTCACCTATAGAAAGGGGAAGCACTCGAAAGTAAAGCGAGAACCGCAGACCTAGTACAGTGCTGGAATGAATTCCGAAGCACCGCTAGAGTTATTGGGGCTAAATTTCGACAGCTTCCTTCGCGAAATAATAAGCGCCAGCCGTCTGTACTACTGAAAGTTTGCCAGGTATATTTGGAGGTAGCATTTTATTATGCCGCAGAACTACTAGGATGTGATACTGTCCCAGCCATTGTTACACGCTTTGTATGAAAAGTGTCTAGACGAGTATTGCACGTCTGAGCCATAAAATAGGAGTAAATCGGGGCTAAGACTGAAAGCAGTAACTATTTTGATTTACAGGTTTTCGAATCACAGCAAAAAAACATGATTGCTGCTGGAG